TAATAAAGCAAATAAAGGTATTAAGTTTCTCAAAGAAACTCACGCGTTTATTAATTTAAATGGTAAATGGTAAAGAACACATTAGACACTGTATACCGTACGAGTCTGATAAAGGCAGTAAATAATGCAACCGAAGTTTGTCATTGCAATTTTCACGTGTTTGGAGAGGATGCGAATGATGTTAGCTGATGTAACCGTTAGTTTCAACAATGCTAGGACGCAGACAAAGGTGATATATAGGTCTATCACATTCAAGAGACCTATCAGTTATTTCAAATAAATTTTTGATGAGGCCTAAAAATAAACCACGTCCCAAAATCCAGAATCTAGCAGAAACGTTATCAGTGAACTAAAATATCAATCAAAAGAAGGATGCAGGTCCCTAGGCTCATCATATCAGATATCAGCGAAATATTAAAAGAAAAGAATCAACCTCTGTACATCCTTTTTCCATATTATATAAGTTAATAATTTCTGGGACGAATTATACTGGAAGATAAGAAGTAAATATTGTTTTGCAATGCCAAACACTGAAGGATTGAATAATAGTTAAAGAACTGCGCCATCAGCCTCAAAAAGAGGACTGCATCCCAAAGTGTACGGTGATATTTCAAAAGAATAAGCTAATAGAATGTAAGGAAACATAAATTTAGACTCTCAGTAGTTGAACAAACTGGAACAGAACTGACATTTAAGAGACAATCCACACGCCAATCGCAAAGACATTATGCTTCATAATGACAATGTCAGACCTCGCGCTGTTTTATTCACTCGGCATATTGCACTTTGATTGTGAAATGTAACCCATTCGAGGTATTCTCCGGACTTTGTTTCAACATTCTACCGTCTCGTTAGACCATTATAGAAAACTTTCGCACTCCAAATCTTCTACGATGTGAAAGATGGAAGACATTTTTTAGTCTAAAACAAATGAGTTTTATCAATATGAGATAAAATATTACCAGATAAATGGTTAGAGATTACACATAATGTTAGCGATTTAAAAAAATTATAGCGACTTTGCTTTTAGAGTTCTAAGCCTTTCTTTTCGACTGAAAAACTGGTAAAACTTTTCATACACTTAATAAAATGTATGGCATTTACAATTTTGAACGCTTTAACTGACCTTCGAAATTGACGCTTCGCGCATTTTACTTTACATCAATTAAAGTTGCAACTTTTTGTTTTCTTTCATATATGGATTTTCATTCATTTGGTGCTCTGAGTAGATTCATTTCGGTCAAGCCCATATTCTGCTAGTGATTATATGCCTGGTAAAAATAACAGAAAATAAGACATATAACGAAGCTGATTTTTTTCTTTGTTTATATGACCATAATATTCTAAACTTGTTTTAAATTCTGAACTTATTCTGAAAACCATCTATGATATATATTCAGTGCACATTTATTGCAGCTCAAAAGGTGTTTATGGGTCTAATTAGAAGAAATACACACTGTTATATTCACGTTATTTCAGCTCAAACTGTGATGTCAAACGGACAAAATAAAATCCATAGAGACAATATTTCTTCGGAAACTGCAGGTTGAGCAGCACGAAAGGAATTTAAAACGAGTCCTCAGCAAGAGCTACCACTGCGCAAAACATAAATATTTTATCATGCTGGAAGAAAAACACGACAGAGCATAATTTAAAATTAGGCATAAAAGCAACCTTAGTTAGCGTAAATTTTGAAAAGAATTATCCCTTCCGAAGGCGATGAGACAGGGACTTATGGCGTCTGACCGCTATGAAAATCGGTTGACAAACGGCATTACACTGTCAGAAAAATTTTCATGATTTGAACAATGAAGTTCCTGGTATGATTTAAATTTTATACCTAATTAACTATTAAATAACATATTAACCTCTGACATATTTAAAGACAAATGATTAAATTTTATGCAGAAGAAAATTCTTTATTATTCATACCACCAACGTAAAATACATGATGCACATTTTACTAACTAACCGATTTTAAAGCATCCAAAACTTTGGTGATGGCCGAATAAGGATCAACATCTGCATTTAAATCGGAAAGAAGAATCCTTCCAGGAAAAGACAGAACCCTTAATGGATTCTCTTCTTTCAGCCCAAATTTTGAAAACAAAGTTTCCGCGATACTGAAAATAATAGAACATATATATGAATAAAATGAAAAATAATTACAGGTTTTTATAATATAATTTTGTGTATCAACTGAAAAGAAATTATCATGGGTTCTCGAATCTGCGTATTTATGTTTTGATCACAGAGTTATAAAAGCAGTTATTTTACATTCTTAATTTATGGAAGCTAATATTAATTAGGGATTATATGCAAAATTATATGCACAAAAGTAATTTCTTGCTGAGCCAACTAATGCATCAAAATCATACGACTTTTCTCTCTTAGTTGATTGAAATGGTCATTTCAGAACGTTATAAATATATTTTTATTTATTAATAATTAAAAATGGAAATATTTTATTACATTCCATGCATTCTTGTACATTATCAACAAAAATTTGAGTAAAAATGAAATTTCAATTCAACTGTCATCATAATATAATCTGACTTATCTTCCGTTATACAGAATTATTCACTAAATCCGTGAAACATTTTAAAAATTTACGACTAATAAATGATGGAACCGACACTAAATTTTTATTACATTGAAACAGGGAGGTACACGAACTAAAAGTGCTTTATTTTTTCTCTTTTTCTCTCAGAATCAGCGTAATTTTTTAACAATTTTTGCAGTACTAGTTTCGATAGTTTTTAGCAGTTGAAGAAGACAGTTAAAAAACTATCGAAACTAGTACTGCAAAATATTTTTTAAAGTTTACGCTGATTCTTTGTTGGACTTTGTTTTTGACTGTCATTCAGCGTGATATTTAAACTAAATTAAAGGTGCTTTCTTTTTTTTCCTCTCTCTCTCTCCTTTTTTTTTTAAATTCACAACTATAAACAATAGAACCGATACCAAATTTTTATTACACTTAAATTGATATGACCGAACTAATAGTGCTTTCTTTTCTCCCTCCCCCTTTTTTCCCATACTTCACAAATACTCAGTTTGTCCAACGTTTCTTATACCAAAATCTCTATGCATCAATGGAAGAATCTATTTTGAAACTGGAAGGCTGGGTGATGCCCCAATGGAATTCTTATACCAAAATCTCTATGCATCAATGGAATTCTTATACCAAATCTATTTTGAAACTGTAAGGCTGGGTGATGCCCCAATGGAATTCTTATACCAAAATCTCTATGCATCAATGGAAGAATCTATTTTGAAACTGGAAGGCTGGGTGATGTCCCAATGGAATGAAGAAAAAGCTATAATTACATAATTATCTTTACTCAAAACAGTTATCTAACTCACAGTTGCAGTTATCTAGCACACCTATAACCTCTGCAACTTATTATTAGATACATCACTTTTACTTTTTAAGATTCAAAATCACAAGAATCCTTATTGATTTGTAAAATTTTAGCTTTATTTATAAATGCGAAACTTAACTTTGAATTTCTTTCAGTTACCGAAAATGAATACTTCCAACCGAAACTTTGAAACCAAAGTTTAAGATTTTTCATAAAATTAAAATGCTTAAAGATAGTTTATAAAGTCTCGATAACTTAGTTTTTCTTTCATGTCTAACCTTAATCAAACGAACAATAATTCCCACAAATTAATTAATGCATAAACTAAACTTCAGTAACTCACAAAGGTAAAATTCAGTTTAAATTTTACTAACAGATTTTGAATTAGACTTCATCCTATCCTTCTTTATTTCTGACACCATTTTCGCTCAAACAAGGAAGGCATGAATGCAGCATAATTTAAAAGGAAGAGTTTGACTTAAAATGTTGCTTTTTAGAGCGTTTATTGCACTGCGGCTATCTAACTGAGAACTAGTGTCTGCTGAATCCCTGGAATGCCAAACATAGATAAGTAACTATGTGGTTGGTAACCGATTTATGAGTTTATATATAATTTAGACCGACCAAAGTTGATCTTTGAATAAGTACTTTGTTAGTAAAGACTTCAAGTTTACGGAGCAAAGCAGACTCGATTTTATAATTTTACTACGACAAGACTTCGTTTTAGTTTGTATTGTAACTTAGTAGTAAACTACAAAGAGTGGCATAATAAATTATACTTGGATTTTAATTTGACCTTCCATGTGTGTGCGTTTACAGTTAGATAACTGTAAGGGCTGGAGCTGACCAAGAAATTAAGATAACTCTACGTGTTAACTGTTTACTTTAGTTTAATTTCACAACACAGAATTATAAACTCAAAGATTTATTTACTACTACATTTAAGGGCTTGCAATCTAAACTTAAAATTAGCAAAGCTTAAAAACTTAAAATTAGTAATGCTATCCACCGCTTCTTGCAATATTTCAAATTAATATAGGAATATAAGTGATAATGTTATAATTCAAACTCAGTCTATTAAGCCTCGACTTCAACTTCCTTTCCTCCGATTAATACAAATCCTTAACAGAAAGTAAAAACAACTTCATATAGAAAAGCGATTCGCAACGGTTCGGTTCAGAGTAAACAGCTAATTTAGTATTGCCAATCCACATTCTCTAAATTTCTGTTGCACTTGCTACTTAATTTGCTTTGAGAAAAGGTTCTTAGATAAACAGAAAGAACAGAAAAGAATTAACCCAAAATGAATATTTAAATAAACGTTACAGGTTCAAACAGTAGTATATGTCCGACAAATTCCTCAAACTATTATAGAAATACAACTTTTATTGCGGTCAAAATACTTGTTGATACTGCTTCAGTGAAGAATTTTTTAAGTTGGGTTTCTGTGACTGTTAGTTTCGAATCTGAAACCTAATTTTACTTAACTTCTTAACGTATGCAACATCGTAAGGATATTAAGTGAAATTCATGTTGACTTAATTTCACATGTTCACTTAATTTCCTATGTAATTTCCCCTGACAAGATTATGTACTCTCAGTTGAAACTAAGAATCAGAGTCAAGCATAACTTACCGTTGCTTCTCACCCTGCATCATACTTTCGGTGCAGATAATAAGAGCTGCAGAAATGCGATTTCTAAGTTCCGTGCATGACGATGTCTCAAAGCTGACCAAGACCCCAAAATCCTCCGCTACGCGAAGCAGTATGAAGCGACTCATCCAAACATCATCGGCCAACTCTACTCGGGAACAGGGACCTATACAATATTTCCACTGAAAAAAATAATTAACTTTTTAGAAATCATCTTACTTTATCCAGCTTAAATTTAACATGAATGAAACAGAAGAGCATAAAAAGTGTAGTTAAGTTTAGAACTCTTCAATTTAATTAAGTTCTATGACAAGAAATGGTAATTATTTTCTTTATGAGGATGGATTGTTTTAATTTATTAAGCGCATTCTGGCTGTTGATATGAGATGGGAAAGTATTTAGATAAAATGATAACTTAGCTTAAATCACTTGCGTGAATATAAGAAAGAAATTCATATATTTAAGATAATTATTCAGAAAATAAGTTCTATTAGAAAATACTGCCACTGCAACGCAGAGTTCCCAAGTGTGCGCGTATAGGATTAATTCTTTCAATGAGTAAACTACATATGATATTTGGAGAAATTCTGATATTCGCCATCCTGTGTGTTTAATATGATCAGTATAATCATGGGGCCATCACCTGTAAAATGGTGTTTCCTGCTAGCTTCCTAAATGCACAGAATGTGAAACTACGATGACTTCAGGGAGCGTTACACAGCGGCATAACGATTTTGAAACCTGTAAGTTAAATTTCGTGGCTAAGCAATAAGGCTTTGCTACATTACAATAACTGGTATAAAGATTTGGTTTTAAAGTTCCAAGCTTTCAACTTTATGTCGAAATTGCTATAAGGGAAAAGCACATCAAACCATCACAATGTAATATGTCATTTCGGCCTTTCGTAAATTACTGTCGTTTGCCACCTACTCTAGGCGTGTGAAATTCGTTGCATTTCAAACAGAAAATGTAAGACCTTTGACATGTAATTTTTATTGTGCTAAACATTCTGGAACTGTTTAATGTTTTGCTGTAGTAGCAATCTATTTTCCCCTACAAAACATAACTGAAAATAAAAGAACAGAAATCTACACCTGGACAATGAAGTTTGCTTAGAAAAGCGATTGCAGGACTTGGAATTTGCTAAACATTTTGGTGGGATCAAGTACGCACAAAATTATCCTTCTTTGACTGGCTGCAGCTCATAATAATTTCGTTTAAAGTTTTATCAGTATGAATGCTACTACTGTACCTACGATCATGACATTTGTGATATTTGTGCAATAATGTGAAACTCCTTCATTTCCAACATTATAAGGTGCAAGATGCTTCTAATAAGTTTCTAATATTTTGAATATTAGAAGTGGTGCATTAATTCATTTCGCTAACAAGAAATTCATCATTACTTCCTTCATGTGTATAAACTCAAAAACAGATCCAAAAATTTTCATCTTTTTCTACATTTCACACCAGGCGCTAAACTTTTTGCGCCCGGTGCCTCTCGAACTTTTGTCCCGCCAATTTCTGCCGTCCGGCGCGACCACCTTAGTACATAAATCCTGCTGAAAACATTTCTTGGTGGCTGGAATTTTATAGAATATGAAAATGTCTAAAACAACCCTGGAACTCAAAATTTGGGATCAGTTATGATAAGTGTCTTAATACTAGATGAAATCACGCAGAAAAGTAGTAATCAGCAGAAAAGCAGTTTAAAATATACCAGAATCTAATAAGAAAAAAGTAATTCGCTAGCAGCTTTAAAAAAAAAAAAAACGCGAATTGACCATACTTTCTGGATATGATATTCAAAAGATAAGAAACAAAACTGAAATTTATAAAAAAAAATCGAACAAAATATTTGATGATTGAAACAAGCAGAACAATAAAAGAACGTATAATACCTGAACAATGGAGAAAACACAGAAGAAAGATATCAGTCAAAGTAAAAGTAAAAATATTCAAATTAAACGCATAGGGACATAAATATCAGAAATATATTTGCGATATTTATTTGGATTTTGCAGTTGCAGAAAGTTACTTCAGAATGAATTCCAATACAGATTGTCCGCAGTTTTTGGACATAGATAACTAATTTCTATTGAATTAATTTGATGATTCTTTAATTTGGAAAAAAACATTTTTGATTAATATACATGATCATTATAACATAAACACAGCAAGATGAGGAATTTAAAGCAAAATTCAGTACAAAGAAAACTTAGTTTAGAATAGATGAAATTATTATTTTATTCAAGTGCGCTTAAAATGCTTTATATAGCAAGATGTTTAAAACTGCTTCTTCAAACAATTTTAAAGATATTATCTAAAACGTGTATACATCCCACATAACGTGCATATGAGATGTCTCTATACTATACTGGTTATATTCTCAATAAAAGCGCAGGTCTCTTGCGGCTCAATAGATCGGAAACAGAAGATATTTTCTATTGCTATAAAAGAAACTTATCAAAAAACGCGTGTTAAGGAGATTCGTAAATCTAAACTTAGAGAGAACTTTAGTTAAAGATAGTCAGCTCCAAACCAAAAGAAAAAGAACCAAAATCAAAAGAAAGATGTTTTTAATTTCTTTAAAAGGAAACGAAAAATTCCTAATGTGATCATTCAATTTTAAAATTTAATAAATTTATGATAGATGGAATAACCAGACAATCATCAAACAGAATTAAAAAATTTATTTGAATAAGATTCCCTTTAAATGAAAAACTAAAGGGAGCATTTAACATAAAAATACGATACACTGCAATCAAAATAAGAATCTTGAATAAGAAAGCATTTATATCATCCCTTCTCTAAAGTGGGTGCTTACAATTATCATTGTTAAACATGAAAAGAGAGAGTTGTTTCAAAACCCTAAAATCAAAATTTATATAAAAAGCACAAAAAGGTTTTATCTTTGTAAAATCTTAAAAAATAGGAATTGTTAAACATATTAAATGAAATTTTATAAAACCTACGAAATATACACTGCCCAACATAGAAAATGCAGCACTATGAAAGACTGGGTAGAATGTGATGTTAACTAATACACAGACACAGCATGGATATGTAAATAAGTGATGCTATTTATAGAAATATAAATTTATACAGTGCTTAAATATACAGGGAATCAATAAGATGTACGACCATCTCTCGCGGCGATGCAAGCTGCCACTCTAAGATATACGGATTTAATTAGTGTGCGGATAGTGTCCTGAGGGATGGAGGCCCATATGGTCTGAACCCTTCTCCAAAGTTCGCCCTCTGATAAAAGCTGGGGCAGAGCAGACAAATGACAACGAATCAAGTCCCGTATATGCTCGATCGGCGAAAGATCAAGGGACATCGCAGGCTAAAGAAGCAATGGGACATGCTGCAAGCCTTGTCGGTTAACGAATACCGTGTGCTAAGTCGCTGGATGATAACATCTTGAAGCCGCTGAAGGTAAAGTAACACAACCGGCTGCAGCACGTCATCAACGTACTGTCTGCCATGACTATGCCTCTGATGCTATCATGATTGATGGCACTCCAAACCATTATACCACGCTGGCGAGCGATATGGCGTTCAGTAATAGTAGTCGGATTGACTTTGTCTCCCGACGGCTTCAGAGCCTTAACTGGTAACTATCATCAGGCAAATAAAACCAAGACACTCGCTGAATACCACATTGTACCATTCCTGTGTCCAAAATGGCTCGCTAACGACACCATCGCAGTCTTTCGATGGTGACGGTTTATGCGCCAGCCGCTTTAAGTCAAATGTCGGGAAACTGTTCTCCCACATACTGGAGCATTCGAAGCTCCCGGTACATTCCCCAAAATGTTCACAGTAGTCTACTGTGAAGCCGCAACTGCTTCTCTTTTTATGCGTTCTGTAATATGCCTAAATGGACCTGGGCTTTTGCGACTATTTATATTTCCTTCATTGATCCATCTAGACCATATTCTATGCACATCTAAATGCGTTTCAGCAATGGCACGACGTTAACACAACTAGCAGTGCTTAAACCTACAATCTGACCCCTCGTAAAATCGTACGTTTGCCGAAACTGCCTACGGTTTCGTTGCCCAGGCATCTCTTCGTTCACATGCCATTGTTCATTTTTTTTCCGGAACGATGAACTTCTTGAAGTTCTGGATTCCTAAGCAGCAGAGAATAGCGACTGTTGGCTTGTCCAGGAAATCACAGATCATCACTTTACTGTTGGACTCGACTTCTATGAAGTTTTACCAGTCAAAATTATTTTGCATTATTTGCCAATCACGGTAGATTTTAAGATAAGGTGCTATCGCACCGTACACCCTTAGCGACAAAGCAACAAAGCTAATTGTGCAAAGTCAAACGTTTGAAACTGAGAAGAATACGTTTATTTTGTAACAAGTTTGCATTTTTGGTAAATAAGTCTTACCAAAAATGCTGCGATCTTAATTTGTAGTTTTCACTTCAATCTTAAGTTTGATAACTTAATACGGTGTCACTATTTACAATTTCACCTTTGTAATTTACAGTATTTTAAACTTGAAATTACTTTGAATGAGTAGCAGTCCCGTGTTGTAAACCGACGTTCGTCCGCCGTTTCTTTCCCTTTTAGCTTGAGCTACAATCGCGTGACCAACTTATATCTTGCATCTGCATAGCCCTGAATGAAGTCTTTTTAAATTCATCCCTGTTTTGAATTTCTCGTTCTGATATATTGCATTTTGCTTTGCTGTCTAAAGCAGGCTAGCTCACTGCTTAATTAAATCAGCCATTTATTGTGTTCATACTTCTAGCAACCGAAAAGAATACATACTAATCAATAGAAAAAACTCTGTTTATTAAACTCGTCTTCTCCGCTTATAAAATTCAGGGTTTCAAAAGACTGATTCTTCAGTATCAAAATATTCTGTCGCTACCTATAAAAGTTCTTTGTAAACCATTCATTGAGGCCGGTGAATTATTTATCATTCACATACGAAATGCTTAATGACAGAGATATGGCCGAAATTCCAGCCAGTGTATTTCTTTTTTCCGGCTTTTGTCAGGCACTGTTTGCAGCCTGTTTGTCCATACTGGAACTGAGAGGGGCATATCTTATGATTAAAAAAAGTGCTTCTCCTAGAAGCATAAGTGAGCATTTTTCTCAAATGCTAGCTAACACGCTCTCAAATGCTAGCTAACTCTTCAAAGATGGATACTTTTAAAAGCAGAAAGTACAAAGTATCCCATCTTTGAAGCTTTCCATGATCAAAATCTTCCCTTAATACACACATTAGATTCACATGGAATTCTCAGAAAACTTCATGAAATGCTTTCTAGCATTATGTAAAATTGTCAGTCTTTAAATGGATTGGTGAGTGGCTGCTGTAGATTGAAGCAGAAAAAAAAAATAAAAGCATTGGTATTAAAAAAAAATATAAGAACATTGAATTGGAAGATCGATTTAGCAGATAAAATGCAGGCTTTCTATTGGTTAAAAAAACATAAATTTTGAAATTTAGAAAATCGCTGAACGAGACCTTTTTAATTTGCTTTGTGCATAACTCGTAATATGTCCTAAAATGCCTTGCAAGAAAAGTTTTAACCAGAAAGAAATGGATAAATTACTAAAAAATTATGATGCTCTTGGTAAATGCAGCCAAAGATAAACGGTATTTAAATGGGAAATTTCCCAAATATCACTATGCAGTTTACTTAAACAAAGAAGTATCATTTATAAAGAATGAATAAAGATCACCTACCAAAACCTTCCCTTAAATACTACTTCATTCTACCTCATTTGAATACACGCGCGCTAGCTTATTAACATTCTGGCAAGAAAGCGTGAGTTGAAAACGAGAATAAAAGGAAAGTTGTTTTAAAATAAAATTAACTGTTAAATAAATTAAATGAATCCATAAAGGCAATAATATTTTCATTCGCAGTTATTGGATCCTAGCTTTTTTACTTGTTAGGGACTCCGCTTTATGATACTTTTTAAAGTTAAGCCTAATAATAAATTTGCACTTGGCCTATTATACAAATTTTACTCCAATAACTTGTTCAAAATGCAATTTTTCAATGAACATAATTTATTTCTTAAGAATGATCTGCGATAGAGTATTTTTAAGGCTAGTTTTAAAATTACTGAAGTCAAAATTATGTAGAATGGCTGCATGATTTTTTGCGGAACATTTTACTGCAGAATAGTATTATTATCGCTGCATAGTAATAAAAATATCCGAAGGAAAATGTTTAATTTCGAAAATAAGTTTACCTGTCCTTTCACAGAAAGAGGCTCCATGCTGGTGATTCTGACTCCAGCATACAAACAGGCTCGATAATATGCTTCTGCTATCTCTCGGCCACAGACGAAGCCTGACTCTGGAAGAAATCTACTCTTATAATTTATGTAGGGATTTAAGGTATTTTAATCTTTAAAAGCAGAAATTACTTCTCTCTTTATAAAAGAAAAATTTTTGAAAAACATAAGTTACAGCTGTCGTCATAAAATGACAAAATTAGAAGATAACAATCATACATACACCGAATAAAGCTCAAATTCTTGCCTTCCTATAAAAATTATATGATTTTAATAGCATTAAAAAGTCCATCATAGACAACAGCAAAATGGTGCAATAACTGGTAACTTTCATCAAGATTAAAGTATGAATAACGGCAAGATTTTTCAAGTTTTCAGAGTACCAAGATTCATTGTAAAATTAGAGGTTGAACAAAAGCATTCATACCTATTCGTAATCAAATGATGCTGTAAACCGAACACGTCTGCGCAGATATGCTGACAAGAAAAGAAGGGCACTAATGTTTTTAACAGAAGACATATCGGAGAAATGGTTCGCAGAAATCGCATAGTCTCAGAAATGGAGTAGGGGTTGGTATCTGAGTGAATATCAATTTGCTAGTGATGAACAGTTACAAATAACGTTCTACGATGTTCTACCGATAACCCAAATATCAAGGTACTGTCTGTGCTCTCTCAGCAGAGAACTCAGCGACTAGTCGATCGCTCAGCTAAGTGTTTACAGAGTACACAGAATGCTCTAATTAGTGTCTGTCACTGATTCAGTGCACTCCATGATCTTTACAAAAACCGAGTAGATGACAATGCGCTGTCGACCAAAATTCTTTCGAGTAATAATAACCAAACACTTACTTTTTAAAGTCTGTTACGGGTTTCAAAATTTTTCTTTATGTGTCCTTTTATCTGCTCAAAATTCAAACTCGTAACAAACTACCAAGTAGATATGAAGTTATCTCTCAAAACTTTTTATTTAAAGTACTTTAAATATTTATCTAAGGTTCTATTATAAGAAATAAAAAATAGCATATTCTAGGATAATTTTTAGAGTCTATATTTAACAAACTGCAGCATTTTATTAAGATTACTTTCGGTACATCACCTTTAAATATAAATAAGGAAAAAAGTCAAATTCCTTAGCTGAAATCGACTCGTCAATGAAAACTTTCGGTAAATACTTGCATTTATGTTCTTGCTAAATATACAAGAACCTCTAGAAACGTTGAACGCGGCAAAGGATACTTAAAGCACTTTTGGTATAATTTAAAGCAACCAAATTTGTCCTAAGACATTCAGCACAATATAATTTCAGTTACTTTCGGTTGAAGCTTAATATGATTATTTCGAGGAATTACATTGTAGAGTCATTAGGATTTTTTATGTTGGAGATGTGAACAATATACAGTGCCCTCGCCGGGACTCAAACGCTTGACTTCTCGAATACGCGTTGAGTATGCTTCCAATTACATCACGAAAGTATGCGGAATGGAGGGAGGAAATAACTTACATACACCCCCTTTTTAAAGGATGATTAGGGGACCCAATCGCCAAATCCTGGTGGTGACGAAATATCGTCCACCACCTTTTAGTTCGGGTACCACTTATAGTATCATTAGGGTTTTTTTTTTTTTTTTTTTTTTTTTTTTTTGAAGCAGGAGACTTGAAAGATAGGCAGTGCCTTCGCTGGTACTCGAACCCTGGGCCTCTCGAACACGAGTCCAGAATTCTTCCAACTACACCAAGAAGGCTATCGAAAGGAGGGAGAACATACCTTATAACATAAAACATCTGACAATATTTAATTACATAAAATGGCAAAATAGTATGATACTCAAAAACCATTCAATTCCAAAATAATTTACTTAACGCTTAATTCCAAGATTTTGATCAAGAATGCTTACTTTGCTTCTTTTAACTGGTTCAGTTTAGTAGCATTACATTTTATGATCATTCGGTTGCCTACATATGATTTACTACCGAAACACATACTCTTTGTAGCATTTGCATCCCAATAAATGCAATTCTATTATGTACATTCCCGCTCTGAAAACTTATTAAAGTAATTAAATTTTAAAATAATTAATTAAAAATAGCTCACTTTTATACTCGGGTACTATTTAATGCTAGTACGCATTTTTTAATACAATATTACATTGAATAATACTGTGTTATCAAATAATTCTCCATGGTCAAAATGCTTCTTTGAAAAGGTTAAGCATTCCCTAACTTCCCAATCCGATCCTTTTTTAGAATTCTGCAGATAATTTAATTGCATTACCTTTTTTTTTTTTTTTTTTCCTTCAAATACGAAATGCAATTACTGCAGAATTTCAAAAATTATTTTGCAAATCACTCTTTTTGTTGGCCACGCTACTTAAATATGGAACATATTTCTATTCCGAATCCATAAAAATAATGTATAGAACGACATTAGCCAAACTGTTAAGTATCTTACTGTTTTCAAAATCGAGGATATATTCTGGTATCGAGAATATATCCTGGAGAAGCACATCCTGAAGTGGATAGCACTAAAATCCAGAATTTCCAGGACTTCTAGTAAATTTAGTATAATTAAAAATGATTAGATTTTTCCGAAACTGTGCAAAACAAGGTAATTTCGGGAACTTAAAGAACCCGTTTGAAAGATAATTTTATAATATTATATAAATAATTCATACTCTAATCTATTTTTTTTTCATTGTATTCACATCGAAATCTACGCTTTATGATGCTATTGTTTTCAGTCAGCAGAGTTCAATTATTTATCTTACAGATTAGAAAGAAGCGTCATTGTAAGAAACAAAGATAAAAATATATGTTTGATGATAAAATAAAAATACGCTTAATGTTGTTTATTTTGTTTGCATATAGTAGATGTTATGAATTAAAGATATTTTACAATTAGTTTTTATATTATAAACTGACAAATACGAAAGAACAGACATCAATGTACTGAACTGTGCTCAATTTTGAAACTTAAAACCTTCACTGAGAAAACTTCACTTCTTAATACTTTTAAATAGCTTCAGGAAAGTTTAAATCAGTTCTTATACATATCATACCGCTGACACTGTTAACATCATAAACTTACTCGAATCAGAATCATAAGCTGGATTCATATAAGACAGTAGTTTGCCATCTTTCCTAAGGAGAGTGAAAGACTGTTGGAAACCATATTGACTAAAATGATTGCGGCTATTTCGCTCAGCTGATAATAAGCGATAGCGGTTGTTTGCAACTGAAAAAGAAATGAAGAAAAGAAAGTTAAATTAATATAATAGGTTATTTTGATGCCCCTTCTCTTTTACAAATTCGGTGTCAAAGCGTGCTTCAAAGGTTAAGAACTAAATTCATAGTAGAATGTATTTCATCATTAAAGAATGATAATATGTAAGCACTCCAAACTATATATTTAGCCTGTAAGATTCCTATGTTTTAATCTGCAGCTGAAATTGAGGAACCTTAAGAACAGGTAAGCGAATAATCTTAGTTCAGAGAGAGAGAAACGTAAACGTACAAAGTATTAATTACACTTTTATTATTCAAAATAAAGTTAACAGACGACTCCTTCTTGGAGTTACAATGAAGCCTCCACTTGGGCTTGAACTCGGGAGTAATAATCAATAAAACTTATAACTAAACTAAAAAGATATAGTCGAAGTTATCAAGATTCTAACAGAGTTGGCTCCTTAACGCTAATTAACGGCGAAGCTATCAAGGGTCTAAAGTACGGTCGGGCGTAATAATAGCTTAAGAGAGAGTGTAGCCTAAAAAGGCGAACGCGCGCTAGTCGGAATACCTGGCTCTCTAACGAAGTTAGTAGAGCTTCACAGTTAAATATTTCTCCTCATGTGCATTCAAACGCGTTTCTGAAAATACGTTCTGGCCGGAAGTTGTAAGCTGAAATTCAGAAAGATAGGAAAGTAACTTTTAACTAAAAATTAACGGTTAGAAAAATTAACATAAACCTTACAAACCTGCAAAGAATATATCAGGATTTATTATGAGATTTCCTTTCCCACGTACGCTTCTTTCCCCCCCCCCCTTTCTTTAGGCTCAGAGCTTAAGCACCGGTACTTCTTAGTTTTGGGGATTAATCATAATTATAGCAGAAGCGCACCGGAACCTTTTCTTTAATGTAACTGAACAACAATTTCAGCAGAAATCTGAACTCGAAAATTTTAATTTTAAAAATAAAATTATATTAAAAATCGATTATAATTTCTGAACGCATGCTTTTCTTTCCTTGAGAAACACTCTTGGATACAAGTCGAGATTTTTAAAGAAAGAGAAGCTCCCACCCACATGTCAAAGGCTTATTCTCCAGAACGTACAATGAATTTATGACATCGGGTAAATTATTCTTTCCAACGCTAGTGTCTTCCCGCGGAAAAGAGCACTTGCAGACTTTTTAGAGCCATGAAACAAATGACTGGGAGATGGAAATTGTCGTTTGTAACTTTTTTTCCAGTTAACCCTGCAATTCGGCCAAAATTTGTTCCCCTGTCATATTCTGCTTGACAGTTAGAAGTATATTGAGAGGAGATCGTGGTCAGAAAATGTTGGGTTGGACTCTTCTGTTTTTTTTTGGGGGGGGGGAGGAGGCATACCTACAGGTCATCCGTTAAGATTTTCTTCATATTCTTTTACTGTTTATAGCATTCTCTATATTTTCATTAGTGAAGCTTTAACCATTTGAACATTTTTTTTTTTTTTTTTTGTGAGCTTGAAAAAGAGTAATCTTAATTTCTATCATCCTTTGAAGTAGTAGGTTATAGCTTAAATTAAACCGAAGACCGGTTGAGCTATTTCTTACTTTTTATGTGAAATTGTAATTCTAGCCAAAAACCCCCAAAAAAGTCAGGGTCCATTACTTTATTTTAATATTGAATTGTTTACCATTTATTTAATAACTTATTATATTTTTATTTATGGCTTTACATTTTATTAAATTTTAACATTAATTGTTTAATTATTCTAATCATTAATTATTTAATTTTAATAATTAATTATTTAATTATTTACTTATTAATTATTTTACTAGCCGTTTTATTTATTTCTTTACTTTTATTCTTCTACCTTGACAGTCTTCCATAGGGCTCCGGCATTTCTAATTTCTCTCGAAAAGCGCAATATAAAGGCGCCTTAAAATAAAAAATTGTCAGAATTATAATACTGATTAAATTGATACAGCTCATCAGATGATTAAAACACATTGGCTCGCTGCAGAGAGAAAGAGAGGTCAGGGAAATCAGAAACACTAGTGCGGTGTAGATGTCTATGTATAAAGTCATGTCCGTAAGGATTCTAAAATTTGAAATAAAATCTGCACGGAAAAGCCTCTTTGGTAAAAGGAAGGTGGGCAGAACATTCTAAGTTTTTCCTGTAACAAGTTTTTTGTGATGAATAATATCTAGGTTTTTTAAGGTTCTTTTGATCTCCGAGGAAGCAACGAGAAAACAAGTTCTTGAAACCTACAGCTTCTTCTGCAATAATATCAGCTCAGCTCAGAGTCATTGTAAAATACTACTTTCCAACTCCAACGAATGATATTATAAATGGGCATTTTTAGTTCTCTCCCTCCACTTTAGTTCTCTCACTGCATCCAACGCCTCAGATAGCAACTCAGAAATAAGCAAAGAGGAGAGCTTGACATGAAATCATTAATCTTTCCTTTAGATGAGATGCTGATAGCAAAGGCAGCACAGCTTGAGCGCAATATTGCCACACTGTATAGTAGACATAATCTTAGAATACTGGGTGCTATGATATATCTATCACACACTTGCTGTAACTAGATTGCTGTACTTTCTTTTAATTTAAGTGAGGCTTTAATATTCCTGTTAATGATCATAAAATTTAAGTTTCTGCACAAGAGTTAAAATTTTTAAGAACATACTTTCATGAAAAAATTGTAATAGTTGCCCTGAACTAAGCAACCGATTAAAATTTACTTTTCGATAACACTTTGCATAAATTCGTCACTTTTGCAAGAATGGATTAGACTGGACATTTTATTTGTGGCAAAACCACTGTAGTTATTCACCTGAGAGTATTTACCATGGCGGAGGCATTAAAGAAAACCGGCCCGTACTTACATAATACAAAGAGAATAACATCATGCAGCAGAAATCTTTGAACCATTGCGAATGAAACCCGTGTAGAATATTACTGTTTTGTGATTTTGGAAGGGAGATTACTCAAACTATTTGAATGGATAGATTTGTAACTTCCCGGCATTTATTGCCATACAAAAGTGAAAAAAATATTAACTCATAGATAGTCGTTTTTCTTAGATTATTTGACCACCAGCGACGGAATGGATAAGATCGTTGAAAACTGGAAATTAGGTTAGGCTAGGTTAGGTTATTTAATTACGGCAAAGACTCGAGGGCTATCTGCCTAAGGAGATGGATGCCTTCGTGAAGGACTTTCTAAGGGAAACTGGCTCGCATACACGTTACACATGGGGAAAACAACGAAAACACCCATACAGCCAGCCCGTTCGCGGGATTCGAAACTCGGACCGAACTACCAATGTTCAGCGACTTTACCGCTCGGCCGCTGGTGGGCCTGGAAATTAGGACTGCATTGGAATTCCGGCTGATTGGCCGTTTTTCCCCGTGTAACATGAATTTTTTTTTAAAGTCTTAACTGAAATTTATGAATGAATCATTTGCTTCAAGATGCTTTTCCTCGCATATTTCTTAGGTTTATGGCAGTTCTTTTTATTGCACTTTTTGATGAAAAAATCCTTTAAATGTACTTCAGTCTTATTAATTTCATAACCCTCTAAATTCACCTATTAAAATTTCACCGTGAAATTCGTACATAATGCCGATGCTTGATGTCACATATCTGAGCCTTTTACTTAATAGTTTACAGCACTGAAAGAAAAATTGCATTAAATCTCAAAATGAATTTATTTCAACTACCTACAAAACAGAAGTTATAAAAGTTATGTATAATAAGCAAAAAGAAAAAATGCTATAGGAGACAAAGAAAGTACGATAAATGTGCTACGGTAGTTATGTGATAGCTAACGAAGAATAACAAACTCGGATTTAAATCACAAATAATGCAACAGATGAACAAACGTTAATGAAATATCTCGTTGAATGAGGGCATTTAAAACACATTGATCAGAAAGCTTTTTCAGGAAATTGATGGTACAATAAGGAGAATACTATAATCTTTGAATTGTATTCTACGATGAGTTATAGATCAAAACTGGGATTCTCAGTACACATGCTCTGTTACCACTTTCAGGCATACGACAGGCGCACCCACTTATGCGACCATAATTTATCCTAGTCGCAAAGTAAAAATAACGACAACAGAAAACTGAATACAAATAATGTATTTCAGTAAATATCTAGGACTTAAAATTAAGCCGTTGCATCTGCAAAGTGTTGATGCAGAGACGAAAGATATCATGTTTAATTTAAATATCGATCATCCAAGCTTTTGATTTGTATTTAGCCGTCTACTTACAGTTAGATCAATATCGTCGTGATAAAAGAACGAATGTCAGCTGTCTTTTAAAATGCACCGAATGTATACTGATTGCACAAACTAAAGATTCGAAATATTTTCAAATGTCATAATAAAAAGAATAAAAGATCAGAAACATTTTAATGAGACACGTTTAAATAATTAAGTCTAATTTATAGCACGTATCCGAAAAAGAAACATTTGCTTAGTTACGAATTTCAATCAAACAATGTATTTCACTGCAGCATGACATTATTGATAATTCTATATTCTACAATTTGAGAATCATAAGTAGAAATCGTTCCATACTCACATGTTGGCAGTTTGTCTCGCGAATACGTTTCACAAAATACCAGCTTGTTGTTTCCACCTCTAAAAGGATCGCTGTAAAATTTTATTGGCTTTGCATAGAAGTCAGCAACATCTCCCACGTCCAAGCCTGTAGCAGACCCACAAAATTCCATCAGTGGAAGTTCTGAAAGTTGAAAAACATGTAAAGCCTCTTTCATAACTTTCTCTGTATTATCATTACATGATGTTACTGGTATTGCTTTGAAACCAATTTGAAGCCCATGAAATTGCAAGAGGCAGCAATTTAATTCTGAGAACAGCTGCATGATGTCGGTCCTAACATAACTGTACTTAAATTGTACGAATGTTCATGTAAGAACATGTCTGAACTAATACGAGAATAATTTTCAAGATGATATAGTTTTTTGTTTGATGTTGTAAAGGAAATAGACATCTGCGGTAGCACTTTGGAGTAAAGATGGTTAATTGAAATTTAAGGCACTATTTTAACAATAAATTTTCTATGATAATTGGAAAACGTGCTGTTGAAACGTTAAAATAATTGAAAGAAGGACGTGATGAAGGTACTTTGAAAGAACAGAACGTGCTTGAATGGCATAAGAAATCTAAAAGATAGGCCCAAAAATGTAACCAAGGATCTAGAAACTGACAACCACAAACAAGAACGATGAATTTTAGAAAAATTAATAGAATATGGGACACAATATGGTCCAGCAAACGACTGAGTATGAGCTAGACAGCCGAAGAATTACATATTAATTAAGTTGAAGTGTTTGACATGACAAATACTTCTGCAAACTTTACGTTTGTCACAGCCCCGCTGCCCTCAAATTCCTTCTGACCAAAAAAAAGTGATTATTTAATTATATCATTTTGCCTTGTAGAGACACTAGGTATTTTTTTAAAGCAGGCAAGATGAAAAATTAACAACACCTTCGCCGGGAATCGAACCTCGGACCTCTGGAATATGCGCCCAGCGTACAGACCACCACACCACGAAGGCATGCCAAGAGGTGGGAGAAATACCTTATATACTCCCCCTTTTAAAGGGCGACTGGGATTTTTGGGGACCCAATCGCCAAATCCTGGGTGTGGAGAACCATCATCCAACACCCTTTTAGTTCGGGCGCCAGTGCAGAGACATTAGGTTTATTGGAAGCAGGAGAGATGAAAAACATGTAACGCCTTCGCCGGGAATCGAACCAAGGACCTCTCGAATAGGCGCCCATGGTGCAGACCACCACACCACGAAGGCATGCCAAGAAGGTGAGAGAAATACCTTATAGTCTCTTCAACGAAATTTATTCTAAAAAAATTTACGACTATTTCCAAAATTAAATGCTGGTCTGAATATTGAAAATTTTCTAGTGTAACTGATATCAGACACAGCGGAAGAGAGGTATGCAATATGTATGCCGGAAAATGAGTTCCAGGCCAGTTTCCGTAAACGGAAATGCCATTTAAATCAGTATATAAATGAAACAGAGGAGTACTTGTAAGCAACGTTAACAAATAATTGCACATGTGAATTTTTAAAAGTACATTTCGGGAATTAAACTGTCAAACCTTGTCTTCTGAGCTTTAGAAAAAATTACGCTTTAAACGATCTAAAAATCATCCTGAGAACAGAGTAATATCAGAGACAATAGAAAAGGAATATATCATTACATGCATTTAATAATCAACACGTAGAAAATACTTTGAAATTGCTATCAGGCGGCCAGTAGAGCTGAATTCAAACAACTGTCTTGAAAAAATATTTCAGAAATATTACAAAGCTAATAATATAATACTAAAGGCAAATAATTTATGCTTTATAACACTTTTTATTTGACAGCTTTCTATAAGCACATTTAACAGTATGACTACCTTTCTTTTCCTGCCCAATTTTTATTTTCTGCATGAAGATTTTATTTTAAATTCAACAAATAGCTACCCGGATGTATATTTTTCTGTCACTAAAAGGATGTAAAAACAGGACCATCGAAAGGACGGATCTAATTTTAAATCACTTTATCATAAATTCTTCTCAGAATTTATACCAAAATAATTTTACTGTTCATATTTTAATTGTTTACACATCCGTAATAGGAAGAGCGAGGTAAGCCTGATAGACACAGAAACTTTGGTTAGTAATAATGACGTCTCCATCTTTAACCAACCAGTTTGTACAACAAAAAGTGCATTGCGTGTTGTGGTATGCAAAATGTAAATGTACATAATATAAATGTATACAAGTTTCGGCGAACTTGCGGGGTACAGTCACCTGTTTCGTTGGATCATAACGCACCAGGTATGATGCAACGCACGTGGATAAAAATAGAATACCGTTTTGATATCAGTAGGGCAAACAACGAAACTCATGTTGAAATTTACTGACTATATGACAAAAACCTTTTGGAATTTTATCTTTACTTTGTAATACAAGTAGTTAAGATATCTCAAATAGTATTCACTATGTCAACATTTAATGTTTTGTAAGAGATTTACTAAAAGAGCTTGACTTAAAACAAACAAAACATAGAACAACAAACTTAGATCAATAACAAAAGGATAAGCAGTAAATACGTATCATCAAAATATATATATGTAAGAAATGTACCTGTATATACCTACCTGTGGGATTCTTAGATACTGTTGAAAAGGTTACGGATTTAGCTCGGACGTTACGGAGAGATCCGTCAATCCAGACGTACATACACTGAACTTTATCTGCAGGTTGAGAAAGCTGCATATACGAATGTATTAGCACCTTTTGTGAAAAAGCCAACGTCATGTTTCTCTGCGGTCAAATCTAAAACAAAAAACACACATTCACATTTTGACTTGGTTCGTGTGTAAATGGTGTGCTTAAATCATCTTATATTTTCTAATCTCAAGCTGGTAACAATCACGTTTGCTAACAATGATCAAGGAATTGACTAACAATGATGGGCTTTTAGATTAAAACTGTCACAAAGAAATTCGTATAAATTTAATGTAAACTTATATCATTAGATAGGTCAAAATATCTTTAAAAATACATTTTCCTTTAGAGTACGAAGCACATGATACCATGTACGTCATTCTTATTGTTATTAAAAGCAATAATTTTCTTACGCTCACAAGCAAGGGTTTTCTTTGTTTTTCCCTTTGTGTGGACTATAAAACATAAAATAAAATATATGTAAAAAAGTTTTAAGCCAACACTTTTTAATTAAATGCACTGAACAATAAAAAACATTTCAGGTAATACAATATTCTTGGTCGTATTTAGATAAACATAAAAAGCACAGCATGCCCTAAAAGCTTTATATTGGAATATTAATTGAACTTTAGAGAGCAATACAAGTTATAACCCAGAAATGATATATATGAAATTAATTACATTTAATTTAATTAATCCTCTTAGACTACTCTGATTTAAAATCCATCATTTTTTAAAAGTCTGGTTTTTATTTTAGCCACGTTTTGACAGCTAAGACAAAATGACCTTTAGAGTGTATTTAACTAAAACTGTTTAGCTTAATTACATAGCTTTACACAGATTTTTTTATTTTAAATTTAAAAATTTATTTTATATGGGTAAAACACGAAATTTAGCCTACCCCTGTTTAAATAAATAAAAGCTCTTTTATTGTCGTAATTTACTTACAAAAAATTCTGCAAAATTCAGTTTTTACTCACTAAATTTATACTAAATTTAATGACAAAATATCAGTCTCTCTCTTTTTCTCCCTCTGAATTTAAATCAACGAAAAAAAAAATAAAAAAATAAAAACAAGTGTATAATTCAACAAGCTTAATTTTGTTTAAATTACAAACAACAGTTAAGTGATCTTGAAAACTAGAGCTTAGGGTATTATAGTAATAGACTTCGGGGAAACTGAAACTCTACGCTGACAATAAATACTAATGACGACATAAAACATTTTTCCTTTAAACTTACCTAAATCTTATTTCAGAGCAAAAATTGGATTACTGAAGATTCTTTCAAGAATATCTGTGGGGTAACTTTCAGTGTTATCGAAAACAAGCTTTCGTTGACAATGACGCTTACCTTTGTACCCATAGTCTTTCAAATATTTCCCCTATCAGTGCCTCTTGATTTAAGATAAACCATCTTGCATGTACATTAAAAGATGCTTTTGAATCTCTAATCGCAAATAATCTTTGATATTTATTTGTGGATCATCTTTCGGCTATTAATAACATTTCGACGAAGTATCATCGCTTTTATGGTATAACTTCAAATACACGGAACCTATTACTGATTATCTTGAATTTAAATTTTCAAAGTTTCACTAAATTTAAATTTTGTGGAATAATGATTTTTTAACAGCGCATTTAAAAAATTCCTAAAAAATGTCAGGCTATCATAAATAAATAATGCTCAGTATGTATAATTAAGAATTTATAGGTTATGAAATTATTTCAGCAAATTTCTAAAGAGGAAATTTTTAAGGCGTATATTGGTAGAATTTATATCTGGATATGTTTTGTACAAAATAGTAATTGATGAATAACAGAAAAATTATTACCTTATTGGGTACGTTAAGTTGTAAGGGCCAAACATAGGAAACGTAAGTCTTGATTTAATATACATAAATCGGGTTTAAACAAAATAAACAAGATTGAGACTCTACCTAAGCGTGCCATGATCACTGAATACGAGTTCCGCTCTCGGTTTATCGGGCTAGTGTAATAGGATTTTCTTCGTGCGTAACATGGATATTAGCCACTTTTGCTTTAGAAAGGTCTTCCAAAAAGGCATGCCCCGCACATCAGTGCCCTCAGGAACGTTGCTAAAATCAACTAACATACTAACTGAATTAGGTTCGACTGAATTCAGTTATATAGTAACAAATAACAGGCCAGGCAGAAGAAATATGAGTCAAGCTCTCGATACATATAATCAGGCCAGGATTTAGACCGAAATCACTTGATTTGTTTCCCTTGCACCTGTAAAGCTTGCATTAATTCGCACATGTAAATTTCATTACCTATTACTTATTACTACTCTTTCTTGAATAGACCTATCATATTGGAGTCGCTGAAGCAAAGAAACGCTGCTAGTAGTTCTCCGATTCTATTCTCTTTAGTTGAATAGACTCAGATTGCATGTTCTTACTCATATGTAAAGTACTTATATGTAAAGTAATTACAGACCAATTTCCGTTAAAACATCCTCCTCGAATGCAATTCTTAACCTAAGCAGATAGTTCTTGGGTTATGGCACAAATAATTCAATCCTTCCCCCCCCCCACAAAAAAAAATTTTTTTTAATACTTTTTTTTAAAACAGGAGCATTTTCTATTTAAGGAAAAACCATCAAAATCGTGTTGAGGTTTGAACCGACAGTAAGAGACGCGCAGTGTGCAAGAAAGGTAAAATTGCCATTTGTGCAACCCTACTTAAGGAAAACACACACTTCCACATCATTCACTTTGTGCCAACTTTTCTCAAAGACTATTCATTTAAATTCAATTTTTGTTTACTAATTAACCAAATATTTGTAAATATGTTATATACTTCGGGGGCGGCGATTATTTGATTTCATTTGATAAATCATTGGCAAATTTATACCCGTAAGATCCCAAAAGCTTTTCCCTATTACTATTTGTTGAATCATCTTATAACGCACATGTGCAAATTATATTATAAAAAGTAAACAGATTTTTCAATTTTTTTGCAATAACGAATATTGTTCCTTTAGCATCTACATCAAGCGTATGACTCAAATGCTGTGGTTTCAAGCGTACGTATCACAGAGCATGTAAGCTCCTGTTAATACAGATTAAATCATAAAGTTAGTCTATTATTTCTCAGTTTTAGATAGAAAATGTACCGAAATATTCATAGCAGAATAACTGAAAAAAGGTGCACTTTATTTAAATGCCTAATGCTTATTTGAGTGTTTGCAACCTGAAGTAACGAGCATTTTGACTTACCTTTAGTTCTTCTAACACAGTCAAGTTACATTATTCTCTGCAGATAGAACTGACCAAAACTATTTCTGACCGAGAATTTCCCTAGATGTAAAGTAATTAAAAACTGACAGCTTCCCTGGGAATTCAATTCCAGTTAATTTAAGAGAATACCTGCATTGTTTGTCTTGCAATTTTCTTCACGCTTAACGTCCATATGAAATATGCAGTTAATTTCTTTAAAAAATTTATGTGTGTTTATGAATCCTCCCTCGAAGCAGATAAACCTCGAAAACTAAGTAATTCTAGTTACATATACCATCTATAGAGTATTTACACATTTTTAGAATGATTTCGAGGCCATTTAATTCAAGTTTAAAGTGCGAAGAGTGGTGGGTTTATATATATATATATATATATATTCGATCAGGTAATCTTTTTTCCGGACTATAGGTCTGCATCGTGATTTCCATGACAAAAAGGCTTTTCGCACAATTTCCAAAGATACTGATTTCCAGTCTTCATCCACTAATTTCTCCAGATCCATTAGCCGTAGCCATTTGCGCTTAGAAAGAGCTCTTTTCAAGAGATCAAAGGCAAATAAATAGTTCGCAGGTGAAACGTCAGGAGATTTCGCAGGAATACGTTGGAAATGTGTACATACAGTACCTATACCAGTCTTCATTTTTTCAAAGAATGCAGTGGCACTTTTCGAAGCATGTCATAATGCTTTGTCTTGTCGAAGTTTCAGTCTTTGAAAGTCAAGAAACAGAAAGTAAGAAATGGAATTTCTCTTTTAAATACCAGACGTAAAACTTTCTTCTGATAGTGTGTTAAGTTACTTTTTTTTTTTTTTTTTCTGTTGCCACTGTAAGAGAGTCCTGTGACAATCATAAACGCCTTATTGAAACCTTCTTTGCATTGAAGAAATCAGATTTGTACATGTTCTTCCCCTTTCCTTTTTTGATAATAAATAGACCTTTTTTTTTTTTTTTTTTTTTTTTTTTTTTTTTTTTTTAATGTGTGTGTGTGTGCGTGTTGCAGTCATTTATGTTAACTCATGCTTCATTAAGCGTAGCAATGTGATTCCATTTATCTCCAACAAAGTAGTTTTTATAGAGCTATCAATTGTTCTGCGTTGAACCACATACCTCTGCAAAAGCTAAAGAATGTTATCCTTTTTTAGGTTTCTTAAGTTGTAAATCTTGGTTTATTATTTTATTTTTGTTGCTACAGATGTATTTAAAGACTATGCAATTGATTTCTGCCTCGGCGGACTCTTTCTTGTTACTAACGATTTAGCTTTAGAAACCTTAGAAACAATACGTACCTTTTTCGGGTATTCATTTGGAGTTTTTTTTTTCATGTAGAAGTAATGATTCATGGTATTTTCCCTTTCCGATTAGTAATGTTGATTATTTTCCACTTAGAAATTTTAATACGGCGCATTTCCCAACGCTTCTGAATTATGGAACAAAAATATTTCTCTTCAGAAAGCGCAAAAACTTATCATTTAATCCACAGGTTGTTTACATGCTACATTTTGAAAGAAGAATAAAATTAAAAGTAGCAAACGATAATTTCTAAATATTTGCTTTTTTTTTTAATTCTTCATCGAAATCATTCTAAAAGTGTGTATAATTTAACACATTTCAAACATCTTTGCATAATACAAATCCAAGATGCCTTTACATTTGATTCTCACAATGAAGTAACTTGGTTTGGAAAAGAAGAAATGGATTGCTTTAGTTTGGTTTGGTTTATTTAATTATGGCAAAGCACACTACGGCTATCTGCCTAAGGGAAGGGATGCCTTCATGGAGGTCTTTCTAAGGGAAACTGGCTCGCATACATGTTAAACATGGGGAAAACCACGAAAACACCCAGCCCGTTCGGGAGATTCGAACCTCGGAACCGAACTACCAGTGTTCAACGACTTTACCGCTCGGTCGCTGTGGGCGATTGCTTTAGTTACGAAAGAAAGGTATTATGTAACACAAATGCATTAACTCTTTTGTTTCATTTACGATAAATTCACCGTTCGTACTTATATCTCGTTTAGTCAACAAATATTACACAGGTTAAATATTTCTGCTTTTAAAATTAATAAAAATTCAACATGAGAAAGTTGTGGCAGGATTATTCATTAAAGACATGAAATAAAATTAATGCATTAAACCTTTCATTAATCATTTTTCACACTCAACTTTTAACTAAGGTCAAAAGCAATTTTAGTCTTAAAGAAGCGAAATATTTTAATATGATTTTTAGTATTTTTTAAATTTTTAGACGCTCTTTGAGGTATTAGATTGCAATATGAAATTTCCGATATGAAATTATGTTCTATATTTATACGTATATTTTTATCCAGAAAGTCTGAATAATTATAATTAAGTATTTGCATTTTAAAATATTTTTATGTAAATGTAGGAGAAACTGCTTTGATTGCTTTTATCATTAGCCATAAAAAATAACGTTGATATAACTGTGCTACCTACGTATCTTACATTGAACTAAGTGATTCATGAGAGAATAATATTCAGTGCTGCCATCTATAAGTAACATGCCTAACGATGAATTTCATTCAGATTTATGCGTTATTACTCCTCGTTAATTGTTAGTAAAATGGACATACTGGCGAATTTGAAAATTAATTAACGTTTTGCAGTTACGTTTTAGCACTTGTGCATGAAAAATGAAAGTTTTAATTGAATGTAATAATTTAAGTTGCGTAGCAACAGTAATTCGTAAATACATGTTGTCCTCAACTTATGACGATTCGTTTTTACGACAGCAAAATCTGAGATTAAAAATTTCTAATTTAAATTTACCTCCAGCGTATACATACACGAATTATTTTTGTAAGCGCAAAGCAAAATGACCATTAAAATGTCACTACATTCCTTTTAATGTCACTACATTTCTGTAGCGATGTAGCCATCGCTACAGAAAATTCGCTATGGGATCTTTGCCGATGTTGATTATTTTCATTATTTACTAGTGGTGATTAGCAGTAAAATACTGAGGAGACTTAAAATAGCTGCAGAAAGGAGTCAAATAGTTATTTTATATCTTCTACCTCATCCTGCTACCAAACAAGCAAATAAAGAAAAATTAGCAACATTAGTAGATAGGGCATTTAGAGGCGCAGTATTGA